TATTTCGTCATTTGATCGCCGACATTTTTAATGCAGATTGCTTCATCATTATGCCGCTTCCTTGGTCATTAAACGTTCATCTCTTTTCGTTATTAATCTCCATCGTTCCCTATACACTCGCTCTTGCAACAATTAAATCTTATTTACCATCTGTTAATAACCAATGAACTGCCGTTTGTTAGACTTTTTCAGAAAATTTAATTTCTTCTTCTAAATTTTCGCACTGCATGAATTTTTTTTTGACATCTTCAAATTTCCCATTAAAACGCACAGAGAGATCCGCGGTCTAATAATCGATGGTATTACGAGCAACTTTTGCCATCGTCTGTAATGTTGACTCACGACTTACTTTAATATGCAAACTATCTTTACGCACTGAACGATCTTACACGTGCAGCAGGTTTGAGAAGAAAGATCAAAAGAAATATCAGCGAGGCAAAGGTTTCCACGTGTTTGAATCAGAACGAGCATCGATGATCGATACGCAAGAGCGTTATGCACGCACCAAGTGAAACAGCTCTGACAAACGAAGATCGGGCAAGTAATTAAACTCCGACGCTAATTAATCGAATCGACAGACACTTTAAAGTTTGCCTCGTTCGATTGATAAAATCGCACAACCTCGCGAAATCTTCGCTGTCGTCCAAAGGCGGCAAACAATCTCCGTCTGGTCTCGAACCACTCGTCTTTCGACACATTGACGTATCGACTGAATCGCCAATCGTGAGTGTTGGAATATCTGCTGACATTTCGTACAACTATATTAAATAATCCGTTGCTTTTGGCTAGCTATGTCGTTGTATAATCAAATTCGTTATAAAATAAAGTTCATTGTAAAATGATGAACGAAGAAAATTAGTTAGAGCTTTACAATAAGTCCGAGTTCGCTTTTCCTTCATAAATTATTGAATACTCGCTGAACGAGAGTTGCCTCAACTCCCTCAAAATTTCTTTAATTGTAATTTTTATCTGTGATTATTATGATAATTTATTCGTTGAGTGTGTGTGTGTGTGTGTGTATATATATATTTTGATTCGTGGACGATGATATATATTTCGTTTTTCTGCACGATTACGCATTGTCAGATTATGTTTTTGCTGGCCAGGTTACGTAAACGAACGACTTCACCCGATTTTTATTTCTTTCTCTCTTTTTCTCTCGTCTTACTCTTTTTTTTAATCTTCGTCGTGGAATCGCGTTTGCAATTAACTAAATAGATAACAGGCCCATTCATACGGTTCATCGTCCTGACCTTGCGTAATTTCAAAAGTCTTTCACGCGACACTACGAGAGTAAAATAATTAATAATCTCGTAGAAATCTCGTAAAAATCATTATTAGTGACTCGATCGTTATCGAGGCATCGGTGTACGTCGTTTTCTTTTTATACCTTGATTTAGGAATTGAAATGCTCCAAAATGTATCAAACGATATGCAAAAATATCCAAGTATAAAGCATTTCGTTGTGATATTCAGACGATGAAATAAATTGCCTACGCAGCTTTTATTCTTTCTTTTTTCAGTCGTATTTTTTTCTCGTATACAAGAATATTAATTTTCATGGAAACTCGCTGTCCGACGATACAATCTTGAATTTTGATGATCTATTTCATATTTTAGTATTAAAGGTAGTCGAAGTCGTTAGAAATGGATGGAATGATAATTAAGATTCGAAGGATTCTTGAGTTAATGTATGATCCTGCGAGCCATGAAATTTCTTCATCTCTCGCTGACGTCATTTACGGTAACAAGAGCTATTGTCATTAACGGTCTAATTACGAGGCTGTCTACGAGATGTTTTCCTTTGATTAGTCCTCCTTGCATGACTTCCATCAGATCGAAAACGTTTCCCTCTCATTGTTTTTGTCGTTAATAGACTTTTTGTTAAATATTACACGCTTGATCGACCGGAAAAAAAAAAAAAAAAACAATTACAATTAAGCATAACACGACGAAACAAAGAAAGAAAGAAAAAAAGAAATGATAAGAACATTCGTTGCGTTGTTCAATTTTGATTTTGTTAAATTATCGTTCTTATTATTCCGAAACATAGGTTTAATTTGGAATAAAAGTTCTCGCGGAGAAAGAATCGACAGTTACTTTACAATTTACGTGTACACACGTTCTTTAATCGCTAATTGCTCTTCCTGTTAAAGTTTTGAGAATTGCCCGGTAATTAGAGAGTTTAACCAAAAGCTTTGAACCTTTTGAATCGACTCTGCGAGTACGTCAGATGACGTACAATAACCATTAACTTGACAGTTTAACTCTGAATTTTCGTGAGAAATCCACGCGAAAATCGATGAAAAAGAAAAAGAAATAAAAATCCGCTGGAGATCAATTCGTCGAAAGGTACGAATTCATCGCGAGTACACGCGCACTCGTGAATACACGTCCTTGATTTCTCTACGATGTTCATCGACGTTAACTCGTCGTACAACGGTAAGCTGCGAAATTGGTGTAAAATGTTCAATTAGAACCGCAGGTGAACAGAATGCTTAACTCGTTTCTTAGCGAGCTCTCCCGGGCAGCGAAGGGTTAATGCGGTACCGTTCGTAATTATTCGAACGATAATAAATTCTAACTTAACTGCAGTCGTACAGTTATTCGTTGAGCAAACATCCGTCGATTCCCAAAAGACCAGCGGCCGTTTCGGGGCGAAACCAATTCGGCACCGAGCTTGCCAATTAGAGCGCGGCCATTTTGGAGCCTACCTGTTGCTTTGTTCCAACGTGAGACGCGTTAAATATTCAAATTTACTTTTCTCTCGTTCATTTAACCATTCATTACTGACTTCACTAGACACTGGAAAAAGAAAGAGAGAGAAAAAAAGAAGGATCTTCCCTCTATTCGTAAAACGAAATCTTGCAAAAACCTTTGAAAGATGGACGTTGTCAAAGAAAATTACGTTGATAAATATAGTGCAATTTAGTATGTATGTATGTATATGTTTATTTCAGTCTCTTCGGCCTTGAAATTGACTTTGGTTTTTATGTTAGTTTCTTTTAACATTGCACATTTTCACATTTGCATTTATCATAAGTTTCTACGTGTAATACATTTCCTATACCTATATTTATCTTAACTTATGCTATTCTTTTGTCTACTTAAACATCTTAACCTAATTCTTTCATTTTATTTCGGTGCAATTTAGTATATTTTATTATTAGAAGCGTGTGTCTTGGAATTGATTTAACATTTAGGCCAGATTTTTTGACCAGAAAAAAAGGGAGAAAACTGAACCGTTGCCATTAATGTTAATCAGAAATTAATAAATACGTTTTATTATTAGAAACGTGTGTGTCTTAAAAAAAGGGTATTCTGGTGATCTAGCGTAAAAAAATTAATTCTTCTTTTTCTTACATTTTCTCAAAGTATATGCTTTCGAAAATTTCTAAACTCTCTATGTAAAATTAGCAACGGTTAGGTGTTTAAAGTGTACAACGTACCGTAGCCGTAGATAAATCGTTCCCACAATTTCACTCGACCTTTATTGTCGAAGGCTTTGAGTTTTAAAGAAAAAGGTCCCTGCAGATCCTTTTAAGTATATTTTCAGGTATATTTTCAGCTGTCAGTTTCTTTTACTTTCTATAAGTCTGAGATTGATTGCAAGTACGAAAAATATTTTTGTGCAACGGGTAACAAGAACCTCAAATCCATATTTTTTAAACTGGCTGACGGGATATCTCACGTTCTAGTTGACTTGAAATTTGGAGGAGATCTTGGATTTCAAAATCTGATGTTTTTTTTTTTTCTATTTTCGTTTACCAACCAAAAGACGAAAAAGCACAAGAAAAATCGATATTTAAATTTCAAAATGCTGCCATTTTTTTGATTTTCGAAATTTCGCTGTTTCACTGGTTCGTGCTATAGCCATATTTATACTAATTAAGATGCTTTTTGGTTTTTTTCGATTCAAATAACCAGATAGACCGGAATCACGTCAGCCATTCGAACCCGTTTTTAAAAACACGCTTTACCTAAGGCTATATAATTTCCACAACTTTCATTAATTTCGTTGAAAAAGAAATTATAAATACTCTAAATATGAATAAATCTGCGAAAATTGCATATCAAAACGTGTTAAGGGTTCGTTAGGAAAAATATCTCAAAAAAGCCGGATTATCTAGAATACTCCCTTAATATTAATCAGAAAATTGATAAATACGTGCAATTCATTGTTATTAAAATGCGCGCGTGTATGTTAAAATGTAAAAATGCGTGGTGTTTTGAAATTTATTCGTCATTCGGGCGAAACGAAGGGAAAATTAAAAGATACTGTTAATGACGTTGCCATTAGCGGGGGTCGTAAAACAGCCTTCCGTAGGTTTCAAATTAGACGCGCGAGTCCGCCGTAACGAGCTGAGTGCAATTTTTGTATTTTCCAATGGCCGGTCAGCCAGGGCAATTATAGATCCGGCCTGTAACGTTTGCGGCGCTCTGTCTGTTTTTCCCCCCGAAAAACGATCGAACCAACGGGACGAAATTATAGGTGAAAAATTATTCGCCGGGAAAGAGAGCGGTGCGCGACGCGGTGTCGTCGGGGCTTCTCTCATCCAGTAGCTTCGGGATGTGATAGATAGCCGGTTTAATTAGCGGCTGCTGATTGGTCACCTTCCTCCTCGATATATTCGAAGCTGGTCGGGGATGCAGGAGCGTATAAACGTGTTGCTTGACTGTCCATGGTGGGGGCTTATTTACTCGCTATTCAAACCATGCCGGGTTGGCCGATCGGCGATGAAACGAGGAACGGCAGTCTGCGTCTGACACTGGTTGCGATCGGATGATGTGTCGTTCGAACGGTGCTATCGATCCGTCTGTGTTTGCTCGGCAGTAACGTAGAGTTGGTGCTGTGTTGGAGATCAGAGAGTGTTGGCCACTTGAGAGAAAGACAGACCATCTTTCTTCGTAGTTTCCACTTCCTCTCCCCTCCCTCCCTCCCTCCCTCCCCCTTCGATTTTCGATCGTCGACGTCTCTTTTTCTTTTCCGTTCTTTCAAGTTCTAACTCGATTCGGTCGTCCTCGTGCGGAGAGACTCGACACCTCGTCGAAAAGACCAAGTCCTAACGAAGTGGCGCGACGATCGAGTTAGCTTCGACACACGTGCACCTTCACAGTGGACATGGAACGACCTGTTCGTACGACGAGGTTTGTTCGCGTAGAAAGCCAGTGCGAGGTGAAAGCGCGAGGTTCGATCGGGTGTCGTCGATCAATGCGCGAAGGAAAATTCAACGCTTGAGAACTGGAGAGAGACGATCGTTGCGGGGCCTGTCGGTCCTCGGGGGTCTAATGGCACCCGACCTTGAGAAAAGGCGGCAGGAACTGAGGAGGACCAACAGCGTTAACTTGGAGCCAGGACACGAGCATCTTCAAATGCTCCTGCAGCTTCGTTACAGTGGAAATGCGTTGATCGAGCCTTATCGGAACGGTAAATGCATGCTTGATTATTCCTACTTAATATTCAGCGATTGAATTATGCCCAGATAGGTTTGCTAATTAATATCTGGAGTTGAAACCAGTTGTGCGACTAGTATGTTTTAATGCAACATTTATACGAATGTATAAATTTTATTCAGACGCAGAGAATTTTTCGTTCTTTTTTTTTTTTTTTTTATGCATCCGACGATTGAATTATTAATTCCTTCGTCTCGAGGAAACTGATTGTAAACGACGTTGAACGGTCGTTGTCAGCGAGAAACCAACCAGTTCGTGACTTCTCTCGCAGAAATTTAAAATTAAATGTCGTACATTCGAATTATTATCCTTCCTTACGAAGGAATATATTCTTTTCATTTCCGTCTATTCGACACGAGTCTCGTCGTTCGTATTTGCAACAAGGTTACTTCCTCGACGACATCGTTCTATTTTGTTTCTATTTATATTGGAGTTCAAGAAACTACAAACTTCGTTTCGGGCGAAGCTGCGTTTCGCCTTTGAAGGTTAGTTTGCTTTGGACTTAAGGGATGATGTTCCGCGTATTATGTCATCGACGTGAGTTGCCGCAGATCGTTATCAGAAATTTTTTTCCACGAGCCTGGATTACCAAGATTTTTTTTCTTTTCTTTTTCTTCCTCGTGTTTCTTCTTCTCGGCTTACGTGCGTTATCGGGATGATTAATTGAAGGAATTAGAGAAATTACAACGGTCTCGGACGATAACAGTTTTGCATTTCCATTCGAGCCGCTTTCTCTTTTTAACGATATCCTTGGGCGAATCTTCCGCTTGCTTTTGCCCCCCGATGAGAACCTTCCTTTCCTCTTCCTTTTTCCCCTTTTCCCAATGTACGATTATTCTCCATTTTCTTTTTAAACGAGACTCACGCTTTATTTAAGTTAAAAATAGTTAAATACAATAAAAAAAGTTAAATACAAGCCGTCTTATTCCTGTTTTACGAGTCAATTGTTGCTCCGAAATGATTCATTATTTTCGTTCGATAAAGCACGTAGTAAAAAGAGAATCTTTTACGACTCAGGTTAACGCTATTGTTATCTGAGGAAGGAATTGCATCCTGACGTTTCGTCTACAGTGGAGTTAGCATATTTCAGAATATGCGTACACCGTGTTTGTTTTTCAATAAAACCGTAAATAATAATAAAGCTGTTCTTAATCTTAACATCTTACGTTTCTTAACATCTCGTTTCTCAAGGCGTGCGAAGATTTCCCTAAAACTAACCCCTAAATCGTCCACCTCTCTTCCGTGCAAATGGGGTCGATGCATTTTATATATAATTAATAAATTAATATTAATTTTTAAAATTAAATGCACATCTGATATATTATTCAGTATTTAATAAATAAAATAATAAAATATATTTATGTTTAATTATATTAATAATAATTTTATAATAAAGTGAATTATTTATGAATTTTTAATAATTTTATCAATTAGACTTTTAAATGTTATAAAAAATTCAACAAAAGTGATTAGTATTTTATATTATTCAATTCCATCCTTATCATCAATTATATTCATATCTTTTATTATTATTAATAATTTTCACATATAAATTCGAAATTTTTAATAAATTTTTTCTCATTAATATTATCTTTAAATATTTCCATTTCATAATTGAATAATTTATTGTCATGACAATTTTTTTATTCCCAACAATCATAAAATTTATTCCAATTACATTCTTTTTGTCGTTTTATAAATTTTTGATGCAAATACAACAATTTCATTAATTTCAAATGTTAATTTGTATGAATATTAATTTTCGCGCTGCTTCTCCTCCGTCCCCCTCTCGACATATTATTGTCGCGAGCGCGTACATCTGCATGTTGTTTCGCCTCTCCAACACCCGGGAAATCGACGTCCCGCGAAGCGGGTCTGAGATAACCTCTGACAAAGATCCGCGATCTCCTTTTCTTCTCCTCTTCTCCTGCGTCTCGAGCGCGCGCGATAAATCACCGCGTCGTTCCTCTCCTTCGTCCTTGATACGCGCTTCTCTCGCCGCTTGGCCCCCGTAGCCGTGGTCCTCGCGCGTATCGTGCCCTCTCGTGTGTGATTCACTCGGTTCGGTCCCGGGAGGAGAAGCGTGAAACGTCTCTCCGCAGAGAGACGGCCGCGAATCGCCGATACTCCGGTTATCGCGGCTCGTCCGAGGAGCGCTTTTGCGCGGTCGTTGCCAGGCGAAACGGAAGAAGGGAGAGCCAATCCGCTTCGGGTCCGCGGCAATCCGCCTCGAAACCCTCGTCGACCAATCGCGCACCACGTCTCCCGCGCTTTTCCACGCCGATTGTCCTCCGTCCGCGAGGAGCACTCGCGGCCGATCGTGGCGAACGGTCAGCTCCTCGGTGGTCTTCCTCCTCTTCCTCTTCTTCTTCTTCTTCGTTTCTCTCACGAACTCCTGGCTCGCGGTAAGAATTTTCAGAACAGAATTCTCTCACGAAATTGACGAGATTTCGCGCGATTCAAAAAACTGGAAAGACGATCGTCGAAGGATACGTCGGAACGATTGCGTCGGATTCGTAGGAATTGAAAAATCACTTGTCGCTTCGTTGACGATTGATCGGGAAATCGCGTTCGTATCGAAAGAGACGCCGACACTTTTGGGCGAGAAAATTTTGTCTCAATGATCGACGATTTAGTTTCGCAAAGTAAAATTTAATATTCGTCCATCCTTTTTTGGATTGCGTAACAAGATGATTTATTTCTGTGAGAATCTCGTGTCTCGTAGATACAAATATCAGGAATAAAGCTGTCCTCGGCGGGTATTACGATAATAAAGGTTACAGGATTGCGTAATTCTGCCTACACGTCGATTATTATTTAATACCAGCGAGGAATTTAATCGTCGATCGCTATTTAATATATCAGTCTGTTAACCACTTGCGCTGGCAACTGACTGCGGACCATAACGAGTGACCGAGCCGTATACAACAATTCGTCGCTTTCTTATTGAACAATAGTCGGTGCGATATCACTGGATAGAAATTATTAGAAAAGTAATAAATTTTGTTTCACTTAAATATACTTAAAACTGAGGAAATATTACAATTTCGGGACAAAAAATTCTCGACCTGCGTGGCACGTTATTCCAGCGCAAGAGGTTAAAGAAAATTTTAACAGACCAGCGTATACACCATCGACGAGAAGATTCGATGTTCGACACCATTGAACAACACTGAACAACCTCGTCTTTGTTTCTTGTTCTTTGATCTCGGCAAAACGTGTCACAGATTCTTTGTTGTCGTTGGCCATGAAACTGCGCACACATGTGTTCTACTTGCACACAAAGGGAACGAAACAGAGGTAAATTGTACCGAGATTCTTAGATACTTTGACTCTGAAATTTACAATTTGAAGTTCCCGCGCGCTCGTCGTCTGACTTCGAACGCGAAATGTTTTACCAGGGACGTTTTTTTTTTCGATCGCTTTTTCGATCGTGCACGAAGGATGGATCCATGATCTAGTTAACCAAGTAGGCGTGACTTTTCAATAGATCGACACACCGTGGATACCTTTGTGAACGTGTCCTTGCTACTCGCGCGAGATTATTCAGTTTTGAGTTACCTGAGAGCGCAGCCAACGAAGCTGACGCGACTTTAAAATTATCACGAATTAACGCAGACACGCAGCAACCTGAGCTGAAACTGGCTTCGATCGCCGATGAGACATTTCGTGGATAGTTTAGGTAGGTCCGGGTATTGCGGCGTCGACGAAAATTTGGCCCGGTGTCGCGCAACTGGGAACAATCTCGTCGTAAAAGGTAAATAATGAATAATCGTCACGACTTTGACACGTACAAATTTTATCGAGCTGCAGAGGAAAAAGAAAAAGAATAGGTGATTTGTTTTTAAACTGATCGCGATATCCAAATTTTTATTAGTCACATTTCGTCCGAGTGCTCGGAATATCACATTTTAACAACTATGTACAACGAATGCTGCGACATCCACGTCGATGCAGATCAAATTCATGTGTTGCGTCACCACGAAAATGAATAGCAACGTGTTAATATTTAGTTCGTCGAGAAATTAAGAGTTTTTTCTTCTTTTTCTCGAGCTCGTTACAAACGATCTTACATTCTAATAGATGTTGAACAAGCGTGCAATTACACAATCGTGATACGCTTCCAGGAAATGCCTGAAAAAAATCAGCCTGATTTTTTGCTACGATGAAACGTCAAGTCATCCTTAATTACCATAGATATCTATCAAGGATTGATCGATTATGGTTAACTCCACTATACTTATGTGAAATCACAACACGACTAAATGCCAATTGGAAATATATAAAAATGACATTGATTTCGTTCCAAAGTAAAAATGTACAGTGCAATAAGGATTAAAAATGTTTGCAGTTACAGATGCAAGGCACTATGTGTGTGTGTGTGTGTGTGTGTTGATATATATAAGATATTAAATTTATATATATATATAAATATCATTATATATATAATAATATTTATTTATAATAATATTATATATATAAAAAATATAATTAAAATTTATCGCCTATACAAAATTAACTTATTACGCTGTTAAAAATCGCCATCTATTGAGCAACAATTTAGGATTAATATATTTTATATATTACGTATACATTATATATTATTACTATAGTCGTAAAGATTACACCACCGATGATTATATTGCCTTAAAATAAAACTGCGCTTTATTATTAATTCGCTCGTTGTATCTGATATTAGAGACGCGAGAAACCTCGACGATACAGAGACAATTGCCATCCGACTCGTTCCCTCGCCATTTTGTTCCACTGTCAAATGGTTAATAGCGAGACGTTATTATCACTATCGGAAGAATTTTCTATAGATCTGCTAGTGAGCATTTCCAGGAAGGTAGGTGAATACGACGAGTCGTAATAGACGGGCCTCGGCTCTCATAGCTTGCATTCCTCGCGAAATTGTCCCAACGTCCGTAGAATTCAACTATGCATTTTTCATTCTGAGAGGAGTCTCGCTGG